GAAAATCGGTGGGGTGCGCCAGGCCCATGCTGTAGCACGAATACGATGGTTGCTACTTGGAGACTGTGGTAGGCCAATACTCCTCTTCACATCGCGGCTCGATCTACGACTTTTGGACTGTAGCCTAGGAATTATTAGGATGACTTAAAACCGATTGTTGCAACTCGGAAGTCTGCCGACAGCTTCCTTCTGCTAGAATTTCACTCTAGTTACAACTCGATGCTAAAAGGAAGAATTCATGGTGATAAGCCAAAATCAGTGAGATTTTATGGAAAATTGTGATATCTGGGTCCCTATGTGTTCCACGGAATCCATTGCATGCAAAAAATATGGGATCACAAGATCATAAAATTTTCAACATTGTGGAGCTTGTGATATCAATGATTTGGGTAGCCTAGGGGACCCAAAGAATCCATTTCTGCCGAATCTGATACAAAGATCAGAAGTTATCCAACACGCAAGGCAAATGCAAATGGATATTTTCTGATGAGCAAGTAATCAAAGTAAGGCAAGCTCTCTTGTCGATTAATGTAAAGAATCTTTCTTTGTGCCTTGCCTTTTCATTTTGTCATTCCTTGTTTACTTCTGGGGATTCTTTCCAATTTTTTTTTTCTTTTGCCCCATTTGATCTGCTTTTAATTCTTTGATGAAGTATTCATAGTTTGGCATAAAAACCTTTTTTTTATAATTATTTCATCATAAAATAAAATAATTATGAATATTTATTGGTGGATATCTTGATCATAAACTTGCACTAGAATTGGAGGGATGCACCAGGCCCATGTTGTAGTGCAACACATAGGCGATGCTTGAGCGTTTCAATAGCAAGCTACTGATATAAACTCTATCCCTAAAAAATTAATTTAATATCATATGAGTTAATAACTCATGTATCAGATATTAAACTGATAAGAACAGATACTACACTTGATCTTAGCCAAAAGGCCGAGAAAGGTATGCTTTACTTTGTTATTTGATGCGACTTTAATATGCCATCTCATATCGTTGTTTGTCATGCACAACAGTTGTGGGACTTTTGAGTAATGCTTATAAAAGAATAAAAACACTAAACTTTGAAAGCTCCCCCAACGTCCTTATGCTTAATACTTTAACCCTGGATAACGACAAGGAAAGAAGATGAATTTGTCAAAAGGCTAGAAACAATCAGCTATGAATCAAATTATTAATATTTTTATCAAAGTAAGGCTTGCTCTCTTGTCCACAATTTGTTGATTAACATAAAGAATCTTTCTTTGTACCAGCCTTTCCATTTTATCATTCATTGTTCATTTATTGGAATATTTTTTTGGTAAAATACTGATGTATTTTAAATTTTAATTAAAATTTACATTGGTCTATTAATATGAAAAATAGACAATCTATTGTAAAAATTATTTTTTATTAGACAAATAAGTCTAATCATTAGGATTCCATTGATATTTTCGTTAATTTACTAATATAGTTTTATTTTTCAAATATTTGACCTTTTATTAATTTCAAAAATTACATAATATACAAGTTATAATTTTTATTTTTATAATTTTTCCTTTTTAAAAATCTTTTTCCGTATGTATAATTATGGTTAAAAGCTTAAAGTGTCTAAATATTTTTTTTTTTTGCCCATTTAACATGCTTTTAATTTTTTGATGAAGTATCATAGTTTAGCATCAAAACTTTTTTTATAAGAAAAATATCTTACCATTAACGATTTTATTCTAAATATAAATAATTGTTTTATTGTGAAATGAATTAATTATAATTTTTTATTAGTGGATATCATATTATAAGATAAAATATTACCCCAACATTGAGTCCTCTTTTGTGATATCAAAAACCATTATCGTAAACTTGTATCATAATTGAAGGGCATCACAAAACCCATGATCATAAACTTGTACTAGAATTTGAGGGATGCGTCACAATCCTCCTATAGATGTGAATTTCACATTGTCGATATAATGCTCTTAATGGGTTAAGTTACAAAATTCCACATCAAAGAAAAACTTCTAGTAGGAAGTAAAAGAGGATGTCATGATCTCCTATAGAGGGAGCTATAAATCTCACATCAATTATGTATTAGAGTGATATTGAAAATATAAGGGTTTACATCATTTTCAACTTGTGAGGCATCTTTTGCAAAATAAAATCGTGAAGCCAATAGGCCAAAGTAGACAATGCCTCATAAGGGTTGGCGTTGACCGTGACAATTAGTATCAAAGTAAACTCTGAGTACTAGCGATGTGCTACAAAGGACAGTAAACCCTTGTTGAAGTAGGAGGAGATGTCATGGTCCTCGCGTGGACATGAATCTCACATTATCAAAATAATACTTCCAGCAGATTAAACTACAAAGTACCACATCAAAAAGACTCTCACATTGTCGAGATAATGCTTCCAGCGTGCTCAACGAAAAGTAAGAGAGAATATTAAGATTCTATAAAAATGAATCTCACATCAATTATGTACTAGAGTGATACTGAAAATATAAAAATTCATACTACCTTCAATATGTGAACGCCTTTTATGTGACAAACTGTAAGGCCAACAAACTAATACTTCAAAGGAGTTAGTGTAGATCATGACAATTGGTATTAAAACAAACTCTGAGCATCAACGATGTGTCACTAAGTACCTTATTGAAGTGGAGGAGGATGTCACAGTTTTCACATGGACATAAATCTCACATCGTCGACGAGTTGGTGTGGATTGCAAGACTCATATTGTAATGCAACATATAGGCGATGCTTGAGAGTTTTAATAATAAGCTTTTGATATTGATAATTTTTTTCATTTCCTTATATGGTTAATTTTTTAAAAATTCTCGTAGATTCTTGTACACAAGTAATGTACTTATCATTTGCACTAGAAATTATGCAAAGATGGTAATTCCTATATTAGGAATTCTATTCTTTATTGCTTAGGTAATTATGGAGGTAAGGTTTCGATCCTTTTTCTTGCTGTACTTAATTTTTTATTATTATTAATAAAACAATTACAAGATAGTTGGAAACTCTCAGCATAAAAAAAAAACTATTGATATAAACTCTCTCCTTGAAAACTTAATTTAATATCATATGAGTCTTATCAAATAATAAATTGATAAAAACAAATACCACACTTGATCTTAACCAAGAGGCCGAGAAAGGTATGCTTCATTTTGTCACTTGATGCAACTTTACTTTGTCGTTTCGTATCGTTGTTTGCCGTGCCCAACAGCTGTGGAACTTTGGGCAATGCTCATAAAACAATAAAAACACCTAGCTTTGAAGCTCTCCAAATGTTCGTCTGCTACATACTTTAACCCTGGATAGTGACAAGGAAAGAAGATGAATTTGTGCTAGAAACATTCAGGTATATTTTCACTACCAAATGGCAGCCTTTGTATTTCATGGAGGATCAAGTTCCTCGTCAGAGGTCTTTGGACATGGCAATTATTGAAAAGATTCATTAATGGGTCCAAATTGTTCTGCAAAACTTTTGAACATCTAAGCCGATGCCACCAAGTGGGAATTTATACCGCAAAAAAAAAAAAACCTCTACTTCATCTTCTATGAAGGGGAAAGTTTTACTCGTGGAAAAATGTCATTCTTGGTTTGGACTGACACATGAGAATTACCCATTATAGTCTTTGTCCTAGGTGGCAATATATTTGAAATAAAATTTAGTCAAATTAAAATTTCTATTTCATCCTTAATGGAGATCAAGATAATAGATGTAAAAAAAAAAATTTGAAAGCTTTGTTTTTGTGGCTTTAACAGCAGAGAGGGTGATTTAAAACGCTTTCCTTGTGCTATTACAGTGAAGCATTAAGCAATTTGAGTTTAAATGTTTGAGACCAAGTCCGACAAAGCCAATCCAGCCCACCGATACTTGGGCTCAAAGGAGATCCAATACAAGCAAATAGCGCAAAATCATTTAAACTAAAATGTGAATATAAACTGACCAAACTGCAACAATAACATTCTAACTCTAATAAAACTGCCATCTTCTTGTTCAATTTGGGTGTCAATCTCTTCTTCATTTCATTTTTCTTATTTTTCTTTAAAATTAAATATTATTTTGAAAATAAATAAATTTTAAAATTTAAAATTCTAAAAATTAAATGTTTATAAATTTAAAAAATACTTATTTTGAAAAAAAATTAAACTTTTATATTGACATATTTATAAAATAATATTGTCTAATTAAGTGATAATATATAAGTATTATAAACTAACATTATTTCAAATATAATATTTTATAAATTATTATCAATGTCAACGTGACATTCCATTAAAGAAAATAACTAAATTATTGAACATTGACAAAAATAACTAACCGTATTCAATATCCATTAAAAAAATATAGTTGATCCCCAGGAGCCAACTAAGCAAAAGACTTCAGTGAAATAAAATAATATTATAAAGCAAAAGACTTGAAGTACATATTAGTGTTTAAAAGCCTGATGAATTATGCTCCAATTAGGCTTATCATTACGGGTAGCCTAAAACTATGCTTTAATTGAAGATGAAAGTTTCCAACTAACACATTTTATAGTAATGTTCATTTATGAATCATGTGCACACATGGCCTGATTGCCACGTGTTTATTTTTTATTTGTGCCAAAATATAGAAGTAGCTGCATGTTTTGTTCACCAAAAAAAGAAAGAAAAAAAATATCAAAGCCATTGGGTTAGTGGGATTTTGCACATTGAGTTATATCTGAATTGGTATTATATTTCACCTTAGTTTAAATTATGGACGGATGATCTAAAAAGTTACCATCTTAAGTACCCAATAAAAAATCACCATCTCACATTTTGTTAAAAATTTACTATTAATACCGTACATCTGTTTTGTACCAAATTAACTCTCATTCACTTTATTATCATTTATATTAAGGAAAATGATCTGTAAATGTAATTGAGTAAAACGGCACCGCAGCTTGTAGATGATAGTAATTAAACTTAAATATTTAATAGGTGGAAATTGTCCGATGGACAGAGAGTTGGCAGTTGAGCGGCTTGCCAATCTCCCAACTACATTTCATTAATTTCTTGCCCTTTGTTTTTTCTCCGTCTAGGTCTTTATAGTTTCAGTGTCCACTCAATTCCCATTCCTCTAGATAACTTACTCTACTGTGTAGCTAGGCCACCCTTTTTTTTTCCTACAAATCAAATCTCTCTCTCTTCGCTCCTATCTTTGATGGCCTGCTTTTTGACTGGTCTCAGGCGCATTTACCTTTCGATCTACAATTGGACCGTCTTCATCGGCTGGCAAGCATGCTCAGATCCCCACTCTCTTATTCTCGCAATTTTCAACTTCAAATTTTGAAATTTCTTAGTTTACCTCTTCAGGTTTCAGGTTCTGTTTTTGGCGTTGAAGACGTTAAAAGAATCGGGCCATGAACATGTCTACAATGCCGTTGAAAAGCCTCTCCTTCTCTCCCAATCCGCCGCCGCTTTAGAGGTTCCTTTTTTCTTCACTCTGTTTACTTTGACGGAATTATCTTTCCACGTGCATCAGTAAAATTGACTGTCTTTCTCTTAACAGATTCTTCACGGTTTAATAGGTGAGCGCTCTCTTCTTCTTCCTATTGTAATTTGTAATTCTTGAGCTAATTTGATTTCGAAAAAAAAATTCAATTTTGAATTTTGTTTTGTTAATTTTTGAAGGTCTGGTTAGGTCGCCAGTGTCATCAACTCTGCCACAAGTAGGATCACGATTGTATTTAACTTGGGGAATTTTATGGAGTTTTCCTGAGGTAAAACCCAAAAAGAATAAATCTTAAATTTACCATCTTTACTTTTATATCTCATCTTAATTTTTAGTTAAAATTAAAATGGTGATCGTGATTGCCAGATTCGGACCCACATTCTTGTTAGCTCGTTGGTCATCAGTTGGTCCATAACAGAGGTAGAATTGATTGAATTCTGCGTTTGCTTTTTTGTCCACTCGTGTAGTTAAAATTAGCAACTGTAATTGGTGATGATCGGAAGTTGAAACAGAATGAAAAAAATTACTCTGCATTTGTTGGTCAATGTTTTTGTTGTTGGGTTTGAGGTCTTATTGGCAGTATTTGGAGTAAAAGATAGAGAGAGCTTTCCCACATGTAATCTTATTTTGTTTTCATCTTTTGAGGCGTTTTGTTGGTTAAGTTAATAAGTTAAGACTGCTATTTCTAACTAGGATTTGGAGCTTATTTCCAAATTCATGATTTTACTTTTGCTGAAGCAAGGAACGTATGTAGTTGATTCTTAAGCATTTGCATTTATGTTATATTGTGTTTAGAACTGAGTACTGCTGCTTTTGCTTATTGTTTAAGTTTACTGATCATAGACTCTAGGAAGCCATTGGCTCAGAAGTAATGTTTCTCTGTGCATGAATGATGGAAAATCTCTGTATTATATAGTCCTCCGATTTTTTTATAAACATTGAGACCATAATGATTTTTTTCTTTTGGTGATTTCTCATAATTGCAGATTATTCGCTATTCTTTCTTTGGCATGAAGGAGGCCTTTGGTTTTGCACCTTCATGGCATTTGTGGCTTAGGTATATAATACATGCGTGCTGGTCTCATTAACTGGAAACAAAGTGGTTGAATCCTTAAGTGGTCGTTTTGCTGATATTCAATTTTTTCATGCAGGTACAGTTCCTTTTTGGTTTTGTATCCGACTGGCATCAGCAGTGAAGTTGGTCTGATATATTTGGCCCTGCCATATATCAAGGTAATGAATCGATGTCATATAATGCAAAACGTTTGCTAATGTGATCTACATCACAACTACTTTCACCCCACTTTATAAGCCATGCTAAATGCTTGATATATGAGTTGAAATGGAGTTTTCTCTGTTGCTGGCTATCAAATAAAGCTTTTATACTGTTCGTGTCTCATATTATTTGCTAAAGAGTGTAATTTGAATGACCAAAAGACAGTTAGAATGGTTGGTCATCTACGGGCAGAAATGAAAGTTTGCCTGTATAAACATGTGTTCTAACGTTAGCAAATTGAACATGTTTAAATGTTGAATTTACCTCTAAATGAATAGGATAGATGACAAGGTTGTGAGACAAAAGGATGGCTTTTCTGATACAACTAGCTATTTGCTTAAACTCCCCTTGCCCCTTTCTTCACTTAAAAGGTTGCAAGAGCAAAAGGATGGCTGTTCTGATGCTAGCTGTTGTTTTGCTTACAACTCATTCAACTGTTTTTAGGCCTCTCTCCAATCACTTCTTAGAATTTTATGCCAATAAAAGTGGTAAAGCAACTTCTTTATGCTTATTGATTGAACTGGTTTATCTGCAGGGCTCTGAGAAGTATTCTGTAAGAATGCCAAACAAGTGGAATTTCTCTGTTGATTACTTCTATCTTGCAATTCTTGCCCTTGGATTCTATGTCCCGGGTATGGACTTAGCATTCCTCTATTTGACATTTTTTTCCATGCTTGTTTAGATGGCTCGTCCGGAATTATTTGCCACCACTTACTCATCTGCATGGCATAATTTGTTGCAGGTAGTCCTCATCTGTACCGTTATATGCTTGCGCAGAGGAAGAGAGCTCTTTCCAAATCGAAAAAGGAGTAGAATGGAATCTAGATTTGTAATGTTGTGTTCATTATTTATCTGTGCATGTATCATTTCATTCTTCTTCTTCTTCTTAATTATTGCCTGTGGCTAAAGTGTTCCACGATCAGCCTTCTCCTTTAATATGATGGTGTAGATGCAGATCAAATACCAAATGGTAAATTTCAAAAAAAAAAAAAAAACCAAATGGTAAGTTTGGTGGTTTGGCGTATCCTTGAACCTCCAATTTCATAACTTCCTTGTCAACTCTACCAGTCCTAAAATTCCCCTTTTGATGCAAAAAAAATGCCACTGAACCTACCTGTTTAAGCCTGCAAGATTAATTGTAATGGCCTGGGCAGCTGCAAGGTTTTGGAAAGACTCAAAATTGGGAATCGGCCTTGAATTGGATCGAAATTTTAAGATAGTTCAGCTTGTTGTCTAGCCTGTTCGGACTCTAGATTTTGCAAGCCCAAGTTTTGGTGGGCTTCATGTGAGACTAACACAGCCGGCAACATTGTCATTGTGGCTTTAAAAATGTCTAATCTTGTCTCTAAGGGTTTTTTCGTCTTTAAGATTATGTAAAAATTAAGACCGTAAACGCGATCCGAGACAGTATGCCGATGCTTTGAATAAAACCAAGGCGAATGTGTTAAAATTCAGTCAACGCACAAATGTGTTCCCTTCCAATATGCACAATTTGTCGACCCCAATCTTTTGGGAAATGCTGTTCGGTAGAATCTAATCAATTGAAAAGAAATTGACATGAAGATCAGAAAGTTGTCCAAATCTGCAGTAATCTTGGAACGGGATGTAATGGAAAATTTTAACAACTTTAATACGTACGAGACATGTGTTTTAGTTTGATCCCAAAGTTAGTTCGATCCAAATGACCTTCTCTTCCTTGGTTAGACTCAGAAGAAGAGTGGATTGGATTCTGGGACAAGCAACCCCGACTGCTTGTCTAAACTCATTATTTTTTCCTATATATAATACGTTTTCGTTCCCTTGTGTATGCAAAACGAGTTTAGCTCCATGGCTGGGGAAGTCTTGTAAAGTGCAAACAAGGCATGAATTAGTCTAGTGATTAAGGATTCACTTGGAAGTGACCTAATCAAATAATCAAGATAACTGATCAAGTTAGGTAAATATAGGCAACAAGATTACATTGCAAGGTTGTAGGTAGATAAGAGATTTGTTTAGAGGAGTGTAAATTCAAACCGAATTGAAGTGAGTTCATTTTTTCATTTTGATTAGTTTGACGTTTGGTTATTTAGGTTAAATATGTTCAGTTACAATGATTTAATCGAATCAATTTTTAATTTAAAAAATTTAATTTTTTAATTTTATCGATTACATAAATCTTCTTTTTAAAAAATTGTAGCTTTTATTATAGTTAAGGTGTGAAAAATTTATATTTAAAATCATGCGAATCTGAATTCAAGCAAATAAATCATATATCTAATTTTAGAATATTTTTCATAAATTTAATTTTCGATAATCGAATCAAACTAATCAAAATAGTTCGATTTTCGATTTTGCAATTCGATTTCGATTTTTTTAAAAATTCAGTTTTTTTAATTTTGTAAAATTCATAATGGAATGAACTGTTCAAACCTTACCCCTAGATTTGTTCACCAAAAAGGAGAAAAGAGAGTAATTAAGCTGAGCAACTCCGTACCCGTGCAGGAAAAGAGAATACTGTTGCCTAGGTTCAATCTATTTAATGATACAACTGAACAAACTTATTCACTTATTTGCATCCCTAATCTTCTCTTGATTCCTTTCTTATCATATTTGATTTTATCCGCAACTTAAGACGGTACACAAATAAGTCCATAAAAAAAAAAAAGAAACTTAAACCAAACTAATCAAATTTGTAAATTCAAACATTAGTTCTAATAATGTCAGAAGGTAAACGTAATTATCAATACATATTCTCAAAAATACATCTTACACGATGTTCAGTTATCAAGTGCCAAAGCCACAGCACTACAGTTGCTTAACAGGATGAATTAAAGGAGTGCCCTGGCAAAGCTAAGATTTTTGGATGAGTTGCTCTAATTACGTGATACTACAATTAGGGGGGTAGGAAATGGAGGGTATAAAGTGCTTTAAGCCAAGTATCATGCTCCAAATTTGGTCTTTCAAAGTTACACATTAAACTTTTATACCTACATACATCAAGAGGTTAGCTTTGCATTTCATTAATTTCCAGTCAATTATATCTTGCTAGCAAGTCGATCTCCTCCAACCTTTCGCAATTAACCAGAATACGGTAACCTGCAAAAGATCAAAACAAACTGTTTTGAGAAAAAGGAAATGGATTTGGCATTGCTTTTACAATGATTATACAGTTGTATATACGTGCATGTCTGCCAGTACATTGCTACAATGCTACTTACCCTAGCTTCAAGGATGTATCGGAGCTCTCATAGTCATGTGGAGTACCATTAGAGGCACAAACGTTGGTCACAGACTCTGATGACTGGCCATCCTCGCAAAACACAATCTCTGAATCACTAGCAATTTGTTTACGGCCATTGCATATCTGCAACACCTTTCAGTGATGAATACTTGTAGCTACTAACAAGTATAGAAGCATAAAATAATACGAGGAGGAGGGAGAACTATACTTGCAGCTTCAATCGTTCGTTTTCTTCCATCAATTGCATTCCCTGCATGTTTTGAGACAGAAATTGCTGAATTGTAGCAATAAGGTATTTAAGTAAACATCACCTACAAAGTTACATGATTCCATACTTCTAAAACTTCATGTTTACTAAGAACGGGCTTCACCATTGTTCATACCATTTTCCTCCATAGTCAATAAAGGATTTTTATTGGATATATATATTGCAAGTTCAATTAGTTAAGAAGTCTCTCCATGCACCTAAAAATTGGAATAAATGTACGTCAAGATGAACTAGAAGCTCATTGATTGTACAGACAAACATAAGATTGTTTGCTGATCTATGCACATATGAATATGTGTTCAATTGCCTACCTTTGTCCTTCAAACTGAACTTTCTCCTACGCATTATTATTTAATTGATTATGCCAAGTCCTAGACAGTATTATATATATAGAGACATGAATTCTAATTCCATAATGACAGTTACTATAAGCCACGCTATTTATGCATGTACTTCCTCCTTTTTGTCAGTCTCAGGATGTAGATTACAGTGTAATGTACTGACCTTTCTTTCAAGGTCATTGATTTCTCTCATAATCTTTTGACCCTGAAATACATTTAAGAAAACAGTATTTAGAGATAAGTAAAAATGACTACATATCGGACAAAAGTTGCAGACACTTGAAATGTATAAACCTTTTTCTCCATCACACGGCTCAATCCAGATTCCAGAGACTTTTCTAGCTGCTGTAGTTCTTCAATACTTAATCCTTGGAGTTCCTCACCCCTCATTTGCCTGTTTAAGGCGAAATCATTATGTATCCACACACATAATATGCACAAACCAATAAGGAACAAAACAGACGGATACCTCAGCTGATGACTTTTCTCAGCTACTTCCTTACTCAGCATGGACTGGTTGCCGTTCTCTACAAGCTACAGATCAGGAAGAGGGGAAATTAATAATTCTCTATGACTGATAAACATAAGTAATGCCACTCTATATTTCACATCAAAGGATTTGTGCCATCCTTGGCTGGATAATGATAATACAATTCATAACTCACAAGTAAATTCTTCTGTTATGTGTAGAACAGAAAAAATATATTGAAATTTTCTCAAGTCATGGTTTGGTTTGTGATTCTTTCATGCGAAACAAGAGGCTCACCAATGAAACTTGCACCGCTATTAAGTCTATAAGAACTCCAATTTTTCATATTTAGATCCCCAAAGTAATTTTCCTCCCAATTGAGTAACTACTGAAGTAAGAACAAAAAGGGCAGAAAGAGAGGAAAGAAAACAAAATAACCTGCAACTCAAGAGATGGTTGTTCCAGCTTCTCAAGGTTCTTTGAGTGCAAGTTGCGCCTTTCTAAAATCTCCACCATGCTTCAAATTAGAGACACAATTATTAGTTCTCTGATGTCAACAAATAGAATGTTTCATATCAGATCCCTTGGGAAAAACATGTATACCAAAACTTTCAAACAATTATAGTTCGTTTCCACTGTTCCACGCTTCAATATAGAACACTAGGCTACCATGAAAGGGAGAGAAAAGAGAAAAGTCATTTGGCTGGAAGTGTCCAATAGAAGCAATCATGGACAATGCAGCAACATTTGGTTTTTACCCATCAAGACAAAGATGCCAAAGACAGTTAAAGTTAAACATGTGACAACATCTAGTGATGATGATATGGCCTATTGGCTATATAGTTACTATTCTTGGTTTAAAAAGACAAGCCACAGCAAACCATAGAAACTCAATTAGTATTTTATGCAGAAAATGCATGAAAAGTTAACCCAATGTAGCATACATAATCCTAAGCAAACCAGATGGCAATATCATTCAGAAATAAATAGAAGATAACAATAGTCATTATCAACAAAAAACTTGGCTCAGATTAATTAGCTATAAAGAGACCTAATCATGGTTTCAACAACGTGGCCTCAATAAGCAGTCAAAATTATGCAAGCCATGCAATGAAGATAATTTTCATCCCATAATGCTTCTTCTACTGGAAATATTACCTATTACTATTACAGATTTAGGGTTATTTAGCAAAGGCTAGAAATACTTTGGTCCATGACATCTGGTATGTATCTTTACATGCATTGTCGATGTCTTAACAGTTAAATCTCACTGAGTGCCAGTGGTAAGGATACAAGGCCCTCTGCGCATTGAAATTTAATACTTAGAAAACAAAAAATCCTCAAATATTCATTTCTTATTAGAATGAGAAGAGTAGAAGGAACAAATCTATATTAAAGAAAGAGGCTATAATCAACTAACTTGTACAAACAAAATATCCTCAAAATGGCAACGACATATGTATAACAAATCCATAACAGTACTAGAGAACAAGGATGCAACTTTAAACAGTGCTATTCTTTTTTCTTGGGGGAGGGTGTGGTGTGATGACAATGAGGAAAAGGAGGGAGAACAATAGAACAGCAATCAGAATTTAAGATTCAATTCAGAAAATCTACCACTAAGAAATGCAAAGTGAAGTTGTTAAATTACTTCATTCTGCCCAACCATAAAGCTGGCCATTAACTTGACAAAAAAATTTAACGAAACAATGACCAAATTACTGAAAATGGATGGAGACATTTAACTTTTATAGGAGATAGGAAAATAGCATAACCACCCAAACTAAATGAATAGAGAAATAAAATGCAAAAAATCTGACAGCCCAAGAATAAACAAAATTTTAACTATAAACGACAACTGAACATTACCATAGAAACAAATTATAACATCTCCATGCAGTACAAAATGTTGATGGGGTAAGCAACGAAATATATCAGTGCTATCATATCCAGCATAACTTTATAATGAATCAACCAAAAGGTTATTCAAGTTAATTTCCACAGAACCAACCTTCAACTAGATGAGATTAATAATATCCATAACATACTTCCGATTGCCAAATTGACAATTTATAAAATCATGGTCGAAGATATATGGTTCTACGCTCATTAATGGTTGGGGGGTTGGTGGGAGCTCATCTCGATATTCTATCATGATCATCTTCTTCGTTTTATAATTAGGCCCATCTTTTCCTTTGGTTAAGTACACCAAATTCTGAGACAAACAATGAACCCTTGACCGGTGCCAGTCGAAATTGACTATCTTTGTTTGCCAAACCCTTCGGGGCTTTCTGATTTTCTAAGTAGCTGGACATGATCAACCATCAACCATATTAATAGATTCTCAAGACAAGTTTCTAACAATTTTTAAATAACAACAGAATGCCCTAGTATGGAAACACAGCAAAATAAGAAAACATATATATTCTTAGATCATCACTATATTCACGTTGGCAAAATAAGAAAACAAAATATATGCGAACAAGATGCATACAGCAGCTGTCCTCTCTCCAACACTTTATGTATAAATCAAAGTTCCCCGTCCAAGTTTCACAGAACTGTCACATCTTGTCACAGAAAAAGTTTTCAATGCTATTTCCCGCATTGGCACTCTGAAAGACGTTCTGATGCTTATAAACTGGGCATTCCCACACAAACAATAAAATGGTTGCTAAACAAAAAGGAGAAGCGTTCATCATGTGGTAATCTTTAAACAGAACCCGGTTCCAATCATCTAATAAAAGGTTTTTTCTCTTATTAAGTAAATTAATTCGTTCACACACACACACACAACGAGAGGAGAGAGAGTTAAGGATAAGCAAAAAGCATATACTTGTATTAAAAAGAGAGACATCTAAGTTATAATTATCCATTAGCTAAGATGACACTAATTCCCAAACAAAGAAATGGTGAAGCAAAACTTGTTCTACCATGTTCAGGGGTCTATAATGATCCCAAATTGAATTGACCACTTATAGAAGTGCTTTGATGCAGGCGGATCAAGAATTCTATTTTATTTAGTGTTTTCGTTAGCTTAGGATTTTATTTTCTTTATTTTATTTAGTTTGAAATTCTTTTCCCTATCTTTATTAAAATTTTAGTACTTTAAGTCTTTATTTAATATTAAGATTACTATTTGATTAGGATTTATCTTTAACTATTATAAATAGGTGATCCTAGATATAAGATTATTATCATCATTTTTTGTTATTTTTGAATATTTATTCAAGAGATTTCTTTTAAAAACTCAATTATCTTTCTATTGTTCCAACACAATCAAAACAATCCTACTATTCCAAGGCCAAGGACAAATTAGAGGCAATCAGCCCCAACAAGCTGAGTTGGCAAAGATGCGAAGAATGATTGATGACTTGACCCAGGCCATGCAAGCCTTGTAGCGTCAGGAACCAGTGGAACCCCGAATGGAGAATCCGGAAGGTGACCACAATCCCCTTGAGATTCAAGATCTTGAGGATGATGATGAATTTGAGAACGAGAACCCCTTTCATGAACATGGACCTGCAAATCAAGCGACAAGAGTTGGATTGGAGGGCCGGTTATTACATACTCTTGATTTAAAAGGTGGAAGAATCAAGATCGAAGTAACTAATTTTCATGAAAAATTTCATGCGGAGGAATATTTGGATTGAGAAGCTAGTTTGAAAAATTACTTTGAATAGAAACCCATGGCAGAAAATAAAAAGGTGTTATTTGTAAAGCTGAAATTGAAAGATACTGCACTTCAGTGGTGGAAAAGAGTTG